AACAATTTCGATAGGTTCTTCTTCATAAGTCCCATCTGGTTTTAACTCAAGCGGTTGATAATCAATAACGTGATCAAGGTCAGGATGGTACTTCCGAAGCATGGACACATGAAACACATCATGAACTTGTGCCAGAAGAAGAAGAAACCCTAGCAAAAATTGCAGTCCAATCCCATATTTTCTGAAATTTTCGAATTCTGCCCAAACTTTTATTTCGTTCTAAAAGACCCTAACTGAAATAACAGATTTTTCCAGAACTTTTAATTTTATCACCTTACCCCAATTCATTCATTTTTTTTTAAATTTCCGTTCGTTATAATTCCACCACCCTTAAAAGGAGAATTCGTCCCGAATTCTAGAACGACTTAATATAGTATGTACGGGTTTTTTTTTTCTTACCAAAAAGGCGGGGATAACGAGCCTTCATGTCGTCCTCCAATTCCCAAGTCGCATCTCCTCCCTTGTGGTGTGTCCACGTGACCTTTACTAGAGGAATTTCTCTTCTCCGCAGTTGTTTAACCTTTCGTTCAACAATTTCGATAGGTTCTTCTTCATAAGTCCCATCTGGTTTTAACTCAAGCGGTTGATAATCAATAACGTGATCAAGGTCAGGATGGTACTTCCGAAGCATGGTCGACCATCGATCACCGCCCCGTGGCCACCGCTTCATCACCGTCGGTCCGTTTCTCCATCTTTTCTTAGTTTTTTTTCATCGTTTTCCTTCTCCTTTACCGCCATGGAGATTTCCGATTTCCGGCGAACGGAAGCTCGGTTTGGGTTGAGACTTGAAGGGTTTGAAAGCACTTGACGAGTTGAATCTTTTCTGGGTAGTGTCGTCGCCGGAAACGGTGAAACATCGCCGGAAAATCACCGAGAACCGTCGGAGAAAAACTTAGATCTAGGGCGATTTAAGCCGATTTAGGCCAAAATAACTTCGGATCTGGATTCCTTGATTGGTTTTACATAGGAAACAAAAAAAAATTTAAATGATTCTGAGATGTATGACGGTCTCCGGCCACCGGCCGCCGACCACCACCACCGGCCACCGTCGGCGGAAAATTTTCCGGTGACATGGGTTGAACCGTTTCAATCCTGTGATTTCAAATCCGAAATCCGTTTTATAAAATTCAAAGTATTTAGAGATCTTCGAACGATTTAAAATAAGACAGTTTAACCGTAAGACTTACCATTCGATTAACGTTTTTTTTTTCGGTAGTAAATATTTTTGAAAAATAATTTGTTGATTAAGATTATTATATGATAATTAATTATAGGTGAAGAAAATCTCGAGGTTATTGAACCCGGGATCGAGGATTAGAGCGAATCTTTCGGAGTTCATCGTTTAGACCAAGGTGAGGGAACTCGACAGATCTCCTCTTTCTTCTATTCGTTTAGACATGATGATAGAGAACATAGATACCATGCGGTTAGGACTTTAGGATAGACGAATCTGTCGAGTTCCCTCACCTTGGTCTAAACGATGAACTCCGAAAGATTCGCTCTAATCCTCGATCCCGGGTTCAATAACCTCGAGATTTTCTTCACCTATAATTAATTATCATATAATAATCTTAATCAACAAATTATTTTTCAAAAATATTTACTACCGAAAAAAAACCGTTAATCGAATGGTAAGTCTTACGGTTAAACTGTCTTATTTTAAATCGTTCGAAGATCTCTAAATACTTTGAATTTTATAAAACGGATTTCGGATTTGAAATCACAGGATTGAAACGGTTCAACCCATGTCACCGGAAAATTTTCCGGCGATGGTGGCCGGTGGTGGTGGTCGGCGGCCGGTGGCCGGCGACCGTCATACATCTCGGAATCATTTAATTTTTTTTGTTTCCTATGTAAAACCAATCAAGGAATCCAAATCCGAAGTTATTTTGGCCTAAATCGGCTTAAATCGCCCTAGATCTAAGTTTTTCTCCGACGGTTCTCGGTGATTTTCCGGCGATGTTTCACCGTTTCCGGCGACGACACTACCCAGAAAAGATTCAACTCGTCAAGTGCTTTCAAACCCTTCAAGTCTCAACCCAAACCGAGCTTCCGTTCGCCGGAAATCGGAAAAACTCCATGGCGGTAAAGGAGAAGGAAAACGATGAAGAAAAACTAAGAAAAGATGGAGAAACGGACCGACGGTGATGAAGCGGTGTATGGATTCGGACAAACCGAAGGGTGAGCCGGACACACCGAGCTCGAGAATTTCGGACAAACCGAAAGAGATTGTCGGACAAACCAACAAAGATAGGGAGAGAGTCTTGGCTCAATCTCAATCCACCATCCATCATCTGATTCTCTCTTGAATTCGAGTGCCACTTGAGTGAGCCGGTGATTGAGAGAGTTTCCCGTAAATACCCTTCGATTACCATCGTTTGTTCGTGAGTTCGAGTGCCGCTATACGCGAGCCGGTGATTGCGATCAGACTTGCTTCCATCCTCCTCCGTGCGTATATCATTTTGGTATCAGAGCTGCTCGATCCTACGGCCGAAATTCCTCGGTGAGATCGCTCCTTGCTTCTCGCTTCGGTTTTAATTTTGTTCCTAACTTCTAGTTTCGTTCAGTTGGACATATCATCAGTATTTGACTGTTTTGGTTGTGCTAAACTTTCAATTATTTGTCGAGCCATATATCAAACTCTTCCTCTTTCAAAGACGATAACCCCGACTGCGGCAGCGATCCGTAGAGGGTTATAACGATATTTTTGTTTTGTTTTATAAAAGAGTTTTGAGCTAAGTCTGAGGGGTACTGAATAGTCCTAGAGTCTGGACTCGTTTTAAAGAATCGAACAAAGAAAAGTTAGGAGAAGAACGTGAATCGATAGATTGAGTTTTGTTTGAGTTGAATGTTGATTGAATTGTTTTCTATTTGATTGTCTATTCTGGGTACGGAGGCGAGGTTTATAGTCTTGCAACCTTACTGAGCTATTCGCGTAGCTCACCCTTTCATTTTTCTCCACAGGTGAAAAGTGAAGCAGATTATTTTTGTTGGATTTGGTAGTTTGCCAGAAAGACGAAGATTTAGAGTTTCTATTTTATTTATTCAATTTATTCATGAAATTAATATGCAGACTTATGTTATTGAATTCATTGTTTTAGACTTCCGCTGTAGAGTCTGATTTTGATGGTTGATTTTAGAATAAATCGGATTTTTTTTTAACCCAAGTGACGATTCAACGATATCCGAAATACCGGATTTTTGGGTCATTACACATACACTAGTACGAGACCTTTCAACGTGTTTTGTCCTTACTAACATACATACCGATATGCTTGCCAATAGGTCATTCATCCTTAAATTACTCTAGAGCCAATACGCTTAACTTTGAAGTTTTTTCGTGATAGTTAATCGAAAAAGTAGGTGCATCTTGTTGGTATAAATAGTCCAATCAATTTTTTTAAGTTATCTTATACTATACAGCCATCATATTTACACAACCACGCGAATCTCTCTCATTCTAATGCGTTCGATTCATTCACGTACCTCGCTAGTCTAGTGGTACTTGGAGAGTTGCCTCGTCGATTACTCCCGACCCTCATCATAGCTCGGGATATCATAAAAATAAAAAAATACTCAACTTTTTAATTTTGACAAAAAATACCTGATTTTTTTGAGAAAAAACAAATTAAATTATCCAAAATAATATCTAAACTATTTTAAAAATGTTAAATTAAACATTCTTGATATGGTGTACAAAAATTTTGACGTTTTTCTAAGTTACTGTAAAAAAATTTAGATTTCGTTTTTTTTTCAAAATCGAAAAGTTCGAGGTTTTTTTTTTGGATTTTTCCAAAATCAAATTATTGCAGAAAAAATGACGAGACTATGAAACTTTTATAGCAATGTGTGTACATGAAAAGAATAAATAAAAAATGAAAAAAGAGAAAGTTCCAATAAGACTATAAACCTATATTAAAATATGTATAAATAAAAACAATAAATGTTATGATACACGTATAAATCATGAAAAATATTCAAAGAATTATATATACTTTGTAAAATTCTTTCCTTCTATTTCGCAAATCCATGCCCAAAGTTATCCATGCCCAAAATTGTTGTTTGCAAGTTTGCAACTATATATTAAAGCCAATATTCTTGACGGCAAATCTCACTAAATCTCATTTCTAAAAATAATTTCAAATAAATATCTTGATTTTAAAATTCTTAAATAAATACATAAACTCTTCCTAATTTTTATATTAAACATTTTAAAAAAATTAAATTATAAACTTTTAAATAAATACAAGTATTTATATATTTTTTTGAAATTTTAAATAAAAATAATAAAAATCATATATACTTTAAGAATTCGAATTTTACAGTTAAAAGTTTTTTTATTTTTTGAAATTTTAAGATTTATAAATTTATTTTAATTTTTTTTTATAAATTATACATGAATTCTTGATTTTCTTTTATCAGCATCACCCTTATTTTGCAAGTGTGAATGTGATCTATGGAATATTATAGAATATATATATATATATATATATATATATATATATATATATAATAAATTTATTCTAACTAAATTATAATCTCTAGCCAATGAAAAACGACTAAAATATTTAGATAGAGATGCGTGGGACCCATTCGGGATTCTGATTTTTTTTTAATTTTTTTTTTGGTATGAGAAGGGAACTTGACTATGTATATGCATGGAGAGATAAAAGCTCCGTGGGCGTATGAGTTTCCTTTTCTTCATCTCTGCAATCAAGCCGCCATTAATCTTTCTGTATATCTTCCCTTAATCTCTTGAGTTAATCTCTTCGCATCGTCGTTATCTCTCTCCCACCTTTCTCTCGTTTGTTTCCGTATTTATTCCTCAAAACCCAAAATCAATCTTTGGAGTGTTAAACCCAAGATCTTCTTCTTCTTCGGTTCTGAATCATGGACGCGACTCAGAGAAACGCGAACGGCCGTTGGATTCCGGAGACGGTGACGCAGCCGGCGCCGGCGAGCAATGCAGGTCGTGGAATGCTGTCAGTGCCTTCCATCGATTTCCCCTACCCATATTTCGGAGCTCAGTGGGTTTCCCCTCTCGATGGTCTGGAAGCCCTAGAATCCAGATTTTCCCGGGTGGGTTTATCCGATTCCAACGTTCCCCATCATCATCCGCAATCGCAGCCGCCGCTATGGAACAGTAAACACTTGAATCAGGGCTTTGTCGACAGACGGATGAACACCGTCCGTGGTTACAGGGTTTCTCTGGATTATCGGCTAGAGACGGAGCGTGAACGGATGAATCGGTTGCATAGACTTCGGTATCAGAACGATTACGCTAATGGGTCTTTCCGGTTTGATGCTTCTAGGGATAGTAGCAGTAGCAGCAGCAGTAGTAGTCTCATGGGTCAGGATAGGGTTCTTAGGAATGGCTTCCGCAATGGTAATCTAGGAGAGGTTCCTTATCGGTCAAGAAATAGCGCCACGGTTCAGAGGCCGACACAATTCGATTTCGCGGCTCTGGTGAATTCTCAGGGAGATATAGTGAGGATAGCTCAGCATCGATCGTACAGTAGTCACTTGCGTAATAGCATCAAGAATGGATCGAGAGATATGTTTAATATGATCTTCGACGAGGTTATCCCTCATATCTGTCAATTGATGGTTGACCCTTTTGGCCATAATGTTGTTGACGAGCTTGTTGAGGGATGCTCTGAAGGACAGATAACTCAGATTCTTGATTTGCTAACGAGGTGTTATTTTCAGCTTATTTTCATTTGCAACCAGTCGCACCGGTACGAACCCTTTTCGATTCTTAACCTGTTTATGGTACCGATGACATTTATAATCGGCGTCGTTTTTTTCGCTTGATGATCTCGTTCTTTGCAGGTCGAGTTTGTGACATATAGTCTTGATTCTTTTTCTTGTTTTGGATGGCAAGAACAAGAGTCAAGACGTGGATATATAAAAGGATTGGTTGTGTATTGATAACATTTATGGTAAAGAGCATTTATGGGTGTCGTTCTTTTCATATAATCGCCTTCTTTGCAGGTCGAGTTTGTGACATACTTTTGATTATGTTCTTATTTCAACTGCAAGAACAAGAACATGGATATATATATATATATAAGAGGATTGTGTATTAAGGAGTATTATATAATTTCGTGAATCTATCTTTGTTTGGAGATAACAGGGCTCACACAATACAAACATTCATAAGGTGTCTAAAGTCTCCACAGCAAAAACACAGATTCATGACTGCGATAAGCCGCATATCACTTCAATTGATCAAGAACGCTAATGGCTGCCATGTGATTTACTACTGTTTGTCCAAACTCGGCCTTGAATTCAACATGGTAAAGATCTCGGTCACGTTCTTACAGCATTCTCTTAAGTTTGGTTATTCCTTGCTCCACATATACATTTGAAAAAGATTTAGGTTGATCATGAATGAGTTATTTGTTACTTAAACTTGGAGATGTTACAATTTTTTTGCTTGAGGCACATAAAAAGTGACATATGATATAACCCAAATTGATTCAATCTCTTCTGCTGCTGATACTCGCTTCTCATATGTTTTCTTCGTGATTTCTGTAGCCTATTGTTGAAGCAGTTGCTAAATCTTTCTATGAAATTGCGTTGGATCAATACGGTTGTTGTGTGGTTCAACAATGTATTAGCCACTCCCCTGATGAGGTAAAACAATATTTGATCGGCGAGATAATCCTCAATGCTTTACCATTCTCCAGTCACTGCTACGGGTAAAGCAAGAAACCGATCAAGATTCATCCTCCTTGAATGAATACTAATCACCCATCGTTTGATTCACAAGTTCTGTTTTCTCTTTCAGAAACTATCTGGTTCAATTTGTGGTGACTGAACTGGACGATGGAAGGACAGAAGATCTTCTGAGACGGCTTGGAGGATGTTTCTCGGCTCTGTCTCGGGACAAGTACGGAAGTCACGTTGTCGAGAAGCTTCTGAAAGATTTGAAGGAAGAATTTTCTAGAAGAATCCAATGGGAGGTTCTTAGAGATGCTCGTATACTTCTTGTCCATCCAAATGGAAACTTTGTCATGCAGACTACATGGAAAGTATCCCAGGTATACCATTAATATAGATTATGTTTATTTACTCTTAACAGAAAGAAAGATTCAAATATACATTTTTTCAGTAGGCTATCAATTTAGGCCCGAAACCCATCCCAGACCCACCCGAAAAATATCGGGTTTCAAACCTTTTTTTTGGAGGGTTTTCGAAGGGCTCAAATCGGATTTCAGGCCCACCCAAAAATCCAAAATAATTTTTTTAAAAAGAATAAGTTAACACAAATAAAAAAATGTTTGCAAGAAAAAATTGAACGGGCTGACCCGATCTGGTTCGAACTCAAACCCAAGTCCTAAATTTTATATGAATTATGATCTTGTTAATTCCCATGGCAGGACGATATACGAAACAAATTGAAGGCATACATTCTAGAGAACATTCAAGTAATGAGGTGCAACAAGTTTGGTAAGAAAGTACTGAATAAGATAAAAAATTTCTGAAGTTGCAGTGAAATTTTTACAAAAGGAGGTGTTAGGGTGTTTGGTCGGTGGAAGACATGGATTCTTGGTTAGTGTTTTTTTTTTCGTTCTGTTGGTTTTTTTTAATATGTGATTCTGTGTTGTTGTATCAAAATATATCAATAATGTTGTTTTTTTAGGGTTTTTGTTTTTATTTTGGGTTTGGGTATTTTTGTTTTATTAGAACAAGGCCATGCATTTGTCTCCTTTAAAGGGGGAAGAGAGAGTGTTTGATTTTATCTGTAACGGACGACCAAATCTATATTATATATCCAACAATCTTATGTTTTGGTCATGTTATTATATCAAATAAAGATCATATATTAATATACGAACTTTGTGAAAGAAATTGAGATAAATATACGAATTATATAATTTGAAAAAAATAATAAAAGAACTCTTCTTTATTTTTATATTAAAACTTAAACTTTTTTAATGATTTACGGTTTAATTTCATAGGTTTTTTTAGAGATGATCAAAAGTTTTAAAATTTAAGTTAATTATTTTTTAAAAAAGTTTAGAGTTTAATATATGAGTTAGAAAGAGTTCGAGAATTTTAAAATTTTGTGTATTTATTTGAGAATTTGTAAGATTATTATTATTATTATTGTTTTTTCCTATCCTCTAATCGAATCGCATACACATGCTATTACGGCTCCGATCGGGTCGAGTCGGGTCGGGTCACGGGTCAACGGTGGTTTGATGTTAAAAACATTATTGATTGTTTTTATCTTTTGTTGTCACAATTTAATTATGCATTAGTAAACTAGTATATGATATATATATATATATATATTCATTTTTCGTAATGGTTTAGATTTTGACTAAATTTCTATAAAGTTATGAACTCTTAATCTAATATTTTGTAAGATTCCATTTTGTTTCACCTTTCTAAAATTATATTCTACATTTTAGATGTCAATTTTTTGTTTTTTGTTTTTAAGTTTTCTCTCTTCAACTTCTCCGTTTTAAATATTTTAGATTTTCAAAATTTCCATTAAAACGGTTGATTTATATATAAATTAAGAACACTACAGAACCCAAAAAAAGAAAATTTTCGTTAAAAAAAACAATTTTTGTCTGTACATAAATATCTAATTTATAATTTATTAAATAAACATCTTAATTTTTTTTATCAATTTGTACCAAATAGATACGATGATATCATTAGTCGATTACAAAATTAATTTGTTTTAAATAATACTAATTTGGTATATATTTGACACAATTAACCAAATTGAATATTCATTTGTTAATTTGGAAAATCGATTTATATGTAAATTAGGATCACTGCAACATAACAAAACGAAAATAAAATCCTGTGAACAGTGAAGGACTGCCAACGCGCAAGAATTGACCGATTTGGTTAGTTGACTTTCTCAGCGACACGTGGCATCATTCTATTCGTGGTAAAATATCCAACCGCAAAAATCTTGAAATTTCCGCAATAATGATAATAATAATAATGATAAGATAATAATAATAATAATAATAATAATAATAATAAGAAGAGATGAAAATAGTATGAATAAAATGTAATGTGCATTTCGCCGTGACGTTACCCTCTCTCTTTCTCTCTCAACGACGACGGATTTTGTTTTTACCTGTTAAAATATTTGAATGGAATCTAATTTGAATAGTTCAACCGGTGAAACGGGAAGAATTGGAATCTCAAGCTGCGAAGGGGGCGTAATTCCAATTACATGGTCTGTTGCTGCCTTCGAGATAAGTTTAGACCTCGGTTGCCGAAGCTGTCGCCACCGGCTGTATTGATCTGAATCCGATCTCACGAATCAACCATCAATGGATCGAGCTTTGCGTCTTCTAATGAGCATCTCTATCTCATTGATCGCCTTCTTCGATCTGTGCGACGCCATGGATTCCGATAAGCTGGGTTTAGTGTCCGAAAACCGTAATTCTCATACGCCGATGGTTTTCCCGCTCCTGTTCTCGTCTCTGCCGTTGCGGGCGGACGATTATCGCCGCCGTCTCCTGCAATCTCCGCTTCCGAACGCTCACATGAAGCTCCACGACGATCTCCTCGCGAACGGGTTGGGTTTTTCCTCAATTTATTGGGATTTAGTTTGTGTATGTGTCTGTGTGATGCTAGTTCTCTGGAATTCGTTTAGATTTTTGGTTTGTGCATCGTCTGCAGCTACTACACGACACGATTATGGATAGGGACACCACCGCAAAAGTTCGCTTTGATTGTCGATACGGGAAGTACTGTAACCTATGTACCGTGTTCTACCTGTAAGCAGTGCGGGAATCACCAGGTAAGTTAGTGGCTCTTAATTTCTGCTTAGATGGTATAGGATCCTTCAGTTCATGATGCCCATCTTTTGATTAAGTGGCTCAGTGACGGATGAATTCCGATGCTCTTGCATTATTCAGATGTTAGTTTGAATTAGTAGCACAAAATTTAGCACTGACCCTTTTCTGCTAATAGTCTGGGAAAGAGAAATAGGATGATTTAATGAAACTTCAACCATTTCTTGAAAATTGTGGAAGCTTGTGCTGATTATTGAGTATAGGTCTCAAAGTATAGTTCTTTTTGCTATTCCTTTTGAATTGCGTTTCCTGAAAATTGTGTTCTTTTCTGGGTTTGGTGCTTTTACATTTTGTGATTGTGCTAGGGATTGTTCTTGATTTGTTGCGGATTAGACTGAGGGATGTATTGGTACTGTATCAGGATCCGAAATTCCAACCTGAGCTGTCTAGTACCTACCAGGCTTTGAAATGCAATCCCGATTGTAACTGTGATGATGAAGGAAAACTATGTGTTTACGAAAGACGGTATGCTGAGATGAGTTCAAGTAGTGGGGTGCTAAGCGAGGATGTGATGTCTTTTGGCAATGAGAGCCAGCTGGATCCTCAGCGTGCTGTCTTTGGTTGCGAGAATGCCGAAACAGGTGACCTTTTCAGCCAGCGTGCTGATGGCATCATGGGATTGGGCCGTGGTAAGCTTAGTATTGTGGATCAGCTCGTTGACAAGGGTGTTATCGAGGACTCTTTTTCGTTGTGTTATGGTGGAATGGAAGTTGGGGGTGGAGCTATGGTGCTTGGGAAAGTAACTCCTCCAGCTGATATGGTGTTTTCTGCTTCAGATCCTTTCCGCAGGTAGAGTAACTTCGTTACTTCACAGTAGTATGCTGCTTGTTCATTTAAATTTTGTTTATCTGGTACTCCTCACACATTACTGTAGTTTATGGTGCTTGCAGTCCATACTATAACATTGAGCTGAAGCAAATACATGTTGCTGGTAAGTCATTGAAGCTAAACCCTAAGGTCTTTAACGGAAAGCATGGGACAGTCCTGGACAGCGGAACGACATATGCTTACTTTCCAAAAGAAGCGTTTAATGCCTTTAAGGATGCTGTAAGAATCTCTTTTGTCAAAGCCTTTGCTTATCTGTGAAAGATTTCTGACTTTTTGATATATTGTTTCTGCGAATCATAAATTTTTACTCCATGAAGCATGAATTTCTAGGGCTTTCTGTTTATAATATTTTTGGGGCATCACACTTTAAGGATCCTTCATTGTTTCTGTGAGTTGCAGCAGCTATGAGAATGTTCCTTAGTCGTACATATGGATGGATAATCTTTGAGTCAAAGAAAATCTAAACTTTTATCAGGGTAGAACAAGTTACTACCATCTCTGCAGGAATTCTTTCTGGTAGATTAGGGATTACGTCACTGTAGATTTCTAAATGAGATTTGATATCCTCCGATCTCTTGAGATATCTTATTTACTCATTTCTGCTCTGCTCTCTCTAGAGCCACCTTGTCTTACTGGATTCAGGTTGTTTATGGGACAGCTGAGTTGAGTCAGTTTCTATTATAGCAAGTGACAAGTAAAATTTTGGTGTTATAAAGACTATGTACTCATGAAGATTTTGTATTGAAATTTGATGTTTCGCCCTCATTTTAATCTTACGAGACTATATGTTATTCTTCAGGTCATCGAGGAAATTCCATTTCTCAAAAGAATCCGTGGTCCGGACCCAAATTTTGAGGATATTTGTTTCTCTGGTGCTGGAAGGTGGGTTTTAAACAAAATTAAGACCAAACTTTGAATTTCTTATATCTTCTAAGGATGTTTTCTTTTCACATTCGGTTTAGGGATGTTACTGAGCTACACAAAGTTTTTCCTGAGGTTGCTATGGAATTTGGCAATGGCCAGAAGTTGTCTCTGTCTCCAGAGAACTACTTGTTCAGGGTAATTTGTTATAAGAGTTAAATCCGATCTGTTGAATTATCTTGCTTTAGAGTTGCTAGTTTGGTTCCTTCTGCCTGAACTCTGTTCCTTTTCATCTTTCTTGGAATGATTTCAGCATACCAAGGTCAGGGGTGCGTACTGCCTTGGAATCTTTGGTAATACAGATTCAACAACTCTCCTAGGAGGTACTTTTGTGCAGACTCGAATTATGCATTCATATATGTTAGCTATGAAAGCATTGTGGCATCACCGATAGGGAAAAGGAACCAAGGAATTCTGATTCCGATTAACGTAGTCTTTCAATGGCTTGGATGAATCCGTTGCTTCCTTCTCTACTGCTCACTTTTTTATTTCTAACCAAAATCAGTTTCGATATTTAATCTAGCTAATGTCTATGAACTTGGTATACGGGTCAGGAATCCTTGTGCGGAATACTCTCGTAACTTATGACCGAGAACATGACAAGATCGGATTTTGGAAGACTAATTGTTCGGACCTATGGAGGAAATTGGCACCACCAGGTGCTCCTTCACCTGCTCCATCAGTTGATCAAAATACAAGCTTGGAGATTTCTCCGAGCCCATCCCCTGACTTGTCTCCTGCAGATCTTTCAGGTTGTCTAGCTTTCTTTGTCTGTTTCTGAAAGTCACTTGGTCTGAAGAAAAATATGCTGAAGCTGATTAGATCATGATGCTTGTTGGGCATGTCATTTGAAAAAAAAAACCTTATCGGTTTTCAATTTTGATGTCATTACGAGTATGCTAATCTGGTTATCAGAAAGTAAATCTTGCTTAAGTTACTTTTGTCTGTGGCCGACTCACTTCCTCTCCATAACGTGCAACACAGGTGTATTCCGGATTGGAGTTATAACCTTTGAAGTGTCGATTAGTGTGAATAATTCTTCAACGAAGCCCAACTTCACGGAGCTTGCTGATTTCATTGCACATGAGTTGAACATTAACAGTTCACAGGCAAGTCCCCAGACTTATAATTTCTCGTGGCCGTGTAATTATTCGTTTTGGCTGTCACATTATCAATTTTTATCGGATCCTTATGTCGATGACTAGGTTCGCTTGCTGAATTTTTCATCCCGAGGAAATGAGTATCTCTTGAAATGGGGAATCTTTCCTCCTCAGTCGTCTGAGTACATCTCCAATATGACGGCACTGGTATTTCCGCTTTTCATATGATAAATATTCTTCAAACGAGGTTATCATTTTCATGGTCATGAACTTAGACATTGATGGTTTCTTTTACTTTCTCGGGTTTCAGAGCATAATTTCGCTACTAAAAGAAAACCGCTTGCATTTACCCGAGCATTTCGGAAGCTACAAGTTGGTAGAATGGAAGGCCGAGACTAAGAAGAAGACGTAACGTTTACCTCGTCCTCCTAACTTCGTATTACTGATTTCTACGAGTTTGATATCTTATTTTTTTTCCGGGTAAACTTCAAAAAAATTGCAGGAGCTGGTGGAAACAGCATTCTATAGGAATGATTGTTGGAATAATAAGCTCATTGCTCATATCTTCATTGATGATCAAACTGATACTGGTCTGGAGACAGAGACATGAAGAAAACATTCCATATGAGCCTGTAAACGCCATTGTTAAAGAACAAGAGCTTCAGCCTCTGTCTTCACAAACATCTGAAGCATGATGAAAACCATGAAGTCAGTTTAACATATATATATATATAATAAGGAAGATTTG